TGTGCTTACGACTCTTTTTTCCCCCACCTAACATTTCTTCCAACATAACCTTTCCATACACACAGTTAAAATTTATTCTCTGTATCGTAAACCGTTGTTTTCATTGCTGAACCTTCCTTTCTCTGGTCTTGACACTTTCATTATTGAAGAATGCTGATATAAACAACATTTTTCTAGTCTTTAACACCTTTTTACATTTCTAAAACACCTTCTTTGCATTTGTCCAACTCCATGTTTTGTGTCATGTCTTATGCTTAGATAATGAACTCTCTAGAGCAGTGTGATCTGCATTTAGAGTGTTAGAATACTGGTGTGTAACCTATAATTCCAGGTGTTTCCAGTGTATCACCAGCTCAAAGTATAACATTTTTTTAGGACTTTTTTATTGTTTATATTATTGCAGTGACTTACGTCTCTGGTACTGATTTCCACTTTGTTAGGCTTACTGTGATGTAAGCACATAAGAACTTGTAAATTCAGGAACACAAGGTCAGGAAGTAAGTGTTAAGACAACTGGTGGTGAGTTTTGAATAACCATTAACACAGAATTCAGTCTTGACAGCTGTCCATTCTGTGTGCACCAAATCCCATTCTGATAGATCACACTGGGACCACACCTTCTTGGGAAATCATGTTTTTTTCTGTCCTTAAGGTTTCAATGAGCAGAGGTAGTTGGAGCTCAGTATGTTTCTCCTGCTTGTGTCCAGGGCACTGAATTCTGTGATGCTTCCAATTCAATACAAAGAAATAAAGAATCCAGATTAAACTTGAAAGAGGTCAGTCTCTGGTTCTCCTGTGGTGTAATAATTACAGTGAATAATTGATTCTCAAAATGTTTGCTGTGCTTGCAGGAGATCTTGCTTGTTTAGCACTGCTGAATTGTAAGGTTCTCAAATGAAAAATGAGAAGAAATGTGAAATTCTTCTTTCTAAAAGGTTTATACAAAACCTAGCAGATTAAATACACCAGGAAAACTTTTCAAGTCAATTTCAGGTATCAGATCTCTTCCATGAATCAAGTGTTGTTGATCAGTCAAGTTACCACCATTTGTGATTTTTCAGAAGCTTTTCTTGCTGCCCAAGGCAAGGACATCTGAAAGAAGCAATAAGAAGCACTGTGTTAGTAGTGTCAGAGCTTCTTCTGAAAAAAAACCTTGTTTTCTTGTCTATTATTTTTGTCAGACATCTGACCACCTATAATAGAAACAAGGTTTTGATCCTGAGTACTTCTTTTTTTGTTATATACCACCGTTCATACTTTATACCATCATCCACCTACTTGCATCCTCTGATTTTGACTCTTAATCCATTACATGTCACAGAGATGCCATTCTGCATTTTACTCAAACTGGGTCATTGCCAGACCATTCTTGACAGTAATCATGAGGTAAAATACATTTGACAGGACTTGGAATTCTGAAGTAGTCTGAAACATTTTCCTTTTTCCTCTGAAGAAGTTCCTGTTTTCAGCCTGAAATGTATTCTCACACGATTATTTGAGTATTAAGCAAACTTTGAAATTGGAAAGAAAGGTCGCTGATGGCTTCAGTACACTTGGCATCCAAAAATATGTGTCCCTTGTCAGTAATCCTGCTGAAATAACCACACAGTACACTTTTATCACAGCAAAATCTGTTTCAGTCTAATGTGAAAACATGCACCAGTAGTGATGCTCCATCTGGGTAACTTTCATAGAAGTGCAAGAACTCGTATCCTATCTGATTAACTGCAGGTGTCAGTATCAGGTACACAGGGCAGCCTTTGACAAATGAAATTCAGAGGCAGTGATGCCCTCAAGAAGCTGCAGTATCTAAACTCTCTATATGTTTTGGATTTTAAAGCTGTTTATTTGGCATGTACACTGTCACCATCACTTGTTTCTAACAGTCTGTGAGTCTGTGAGTCTGAGTCCAAAGACAGCAAGTAAAGGAGGAAAATTTCTTTTAGTAAATAGTTTGATTTTGCTGAATTATGAATGGTGCAGTGCAGTGATGGTGTATCAGCCCCAGTTCTGCTTTTTGGCAGTTGGTTCAGTGAGTTCAGTCAGTGCTCCAGATGGCCATCCCTCAATCTAGGATCGTGTGGGTTTTTTACATTCCACAACACTTCACGTCCAAACTGATTTGCCTCATGCTTTCTCTTTGGCTGGGCAGCCTCATTCTCCCTGAGCTTTTCACTTCCTTCTAAGTGCAAGCCTGTCAGTCCCTGATACCTTATCATTGTCATATTTCAACAGTTTGACTGTCACTTCGCTAAGGAAGCAAAATGGGAATATTTTTTTTTTAATCTGAGGTGTAATTCCTCACTGACTTCTCTGGTGATATAGCCAGTTTAAGATGTGACAACCCTGCTTTCCACTCCTGTCGTGCTTCAAAAAAAGGTGCCAACAAGTTGTTTTCTTGGGCTATGAGACCAGTACAATGAAATGAGCTGAATTCAAAATAAATACCTGGCATATAATTTCCCCCCTTGGATCATGTTTGTGATCCATTTTAAAAATTATCTTATGCCTGAAGAGAGAAGTTGGTTAACTATGATCAAAAGAGAGGAGGCCAAGGATAATGATTTATTAGACAGCGACGCTAGAAGAGACTGAAATGAAGCTGAGCCTTGTGTAAACTTAAAAGATAGAACTTTGCCCTGATGAAAATCAATGGATGGGGCTGTTCTGGTGCCACAGTGCAAGGTTTCTTTAATAATGTTTTGCTGCAAAACTAAAAGGTAAGAAGGAGAAGTTGCTTTTCTGGTGATTTTGGGGGGTTAGAGGGTTCTTTGTTGTGTATTTTGGAGTTTATCTTACCAAGTCCTCCAAGCTATAGCCAGGGAAGAAAAAACAGCTAGGTGTGCTTCTTGTCACTCTCTTACTGCTCTTACTGATTTTATTGCTTTCTACAACTACGTGAAAGGAGGTTGTAACGATGCAGAGGTAAGTCTGCTTTCCCAAGTAACAAGAGACGGGACAAGGAAGTGGCCTCAAGTTACACTAGGGAAAGTTTAGGCTGGGTATTAGGAAAATCTTCCTAACAGAAAGAGTTGTCAAGCATTGGGACAGGTTACCCAGGGAAGTGGTTGAGTTGTCATCCCTAAAGCTACTTAAAAGATGTATAGATGTGGTGCTTAGTGGCATGGTTTAGCGATGGACTTGGCAGTGTTAGGTTAACAGATGATCTTGATAGTCTTTGAGGTCTTTTCCAACCTAAATGATTCTATGATTCTAAGGTAGGAAAGGGTCAATTTCACAATTAATTGTCTTTTATGGTGTTTGTCATAGTAAAGTGCTATCCAGGGGTCCTTCAGCTGCTGTTTGTTGCACATCAGCTATTCAGGTTGCTGTTTGGCTTTATTCTAACCTAGTAAAATGAAGCTCAGTTTAGTGAATGTTGATATAACCAATTCTTTTGCTGGGTTGGGTTTAAGTGTTGGTGCAGGAGTGTCCCTAAGTAAGTGTTGTTCAAAATAATTCAGCCATCTACACAAGACGCAAGAACAGCTGGCTTCAAAGGCACCACAGCCATTTTAGAGTAGGTGTATGTACAGTCTGGTCCAGACAAAACAAATTACTTGTTGAGCATCAAAGAAGAGATAGGGTATTGAAGCCACCTGTCCTTTGCCCACTCCAACACTGAATAAAATCCTATTTTTTCTAATAGAAATACAACCCTGTTCTTCAGTCTGATACCATTTAAAGCTAGCAGAGAAGAGCAGAGACAGCTTCTTTTTCTCTTTTTTCTTTTTTTTCCCTTTTTTTCCCTTTTTTTTTTTTTTTTTTTTTTTTGACAACTGCTACTGGCAACTGGTGTAGGCCTTTAGATAAGAAAAAGGTAGGGTTCCAGGAGCATTCCAATTAAATTTCTCTGAAGACTGTGCATGTGTTTTGCTTTTATTTAATGTGCAATTGTGTTCTAAAAGTGCTATGGAAAATTGTTGCTTTTTTATATAGAATAGCTTCTTGTACATGCTCAGAGTGGTATTTGTATGTTACGTGTTAAACAGAGCAGCCCTTTGAATAACATCAAGGTGATTATTTGACAAGTTCCACCTACCTAAAGCTACGGAAACAAGCTGAGAACAGGGGTGAAGACAATTGTCAATAACTGGTGATGCACTAGGAGATAAAAAATTCCAGTTTGAATTTTCAGAAATAACTCTTACTGGAAAGAGTCTGACATTTAATAATCTGAATGTATTTGATCAGTATACATAAAGCCTCTCTAAATGATGTGAACATTTGGTATCAGAAGATAATGTTTATCAGAAGGAGTGTTTTGGTTCTTCAATCAGATAATTCCAGAGTGTTCAGGGAATTCCTTAATCTGGTTATATGATTACATCTGAGGATACAGCATGGATTTTGAGGAACCCATTCAGCCATTCTGTGCCAGAACAAGAACCATTTCATAGTTTGTAGGGGAGCAGGGTTATTTTTACAAAGGTGTCCTGGTTTCATGGAAAATGAGCATTTATCTTAGTTCTTTTGGGAGCTATGGAGAAGGCAGTAGCTATTCTCCTTCAAAAGCTTTTTGTTTGTAGTAGGCAGTTTGGAATTTGGCTGAGTGATGAGGTTAACTTCTCAGATATGTAACTTCTAAACAGATCTCCATTCATACACTTTAGAAGTTCATACAGAATTTAGTAATTTTCTGCTGATCAGTGATGGCAATCTTGAACACATTTTAGTAAATTGGGTTGAACTGCTCTGCACTCTTGAGAAAATATCAACAAAATTTTAGCTTCCAGTAGGAAACAGATATTCATGTATCTGTTTATTTGAATAGAAATCAGCACCAATGTATAAAAATCTATAGCACAAACCAGTCCTGTCAACTAATACACTGAAATTGTAAAAGAACTATTGTGTAATTTGGTTATTTTGCTAATTTTTCTTCACGTTTTTTTTAGTGGGTTTGTCATATTAAGTATGTACATTTAATATAGCAATATGGCTATAGAATATTAATTAAGAATATTCAAACTGATGGCATTTTATCCCTGGTTTTCCAGCTAAGACATTTAGGAAATGATGAAGTACACATTGTCTGGTCAGAACATACTCGAGATTATAGAAGAGGAATAATTCCAACAGAATTTGGTGATGTTCTTATAGTTATCTATCCCATGAAAAACCATATGTTCAGTATCCAGATAATGAAAAAGCCTGAGGTAAGAGTTTTTTTTCTTATGTGTTTCCTTCATGTGTTTAACATGAACTGAGTTTTGTTTAGAATCTGACGTTTTGGTGTAATAGATTGATCCAACAAGGTGATGTCTTAAGCGTGGACAGTTGCAGTGGTGGTAGGAGGGAAAAGGGAGAGCTCAGTGAGTACAGTGTATAGTAAAATAAGTAACTTGAAATTGTAGAGGCCTGATGCAGTAAAGCATATCTGCTAACAACATAATCTGTAAACAAAGATAGAATATTCTGCACAGTAATTTAAATATTACAGTAAACTTGTTGAACTTTTTTATCAAATTTGATACGTAACCAAGGTACTTGAATAATAGCCTGTTCCAGCTTCCTCCATCCGTGTCATATTCCCCTTTTTTCCTCTCAAACCTATTTTTTACTTTCTTCTTATCTCCACACAAGAATCTGGAGATGAATTCAGTAAAGCAAGGCCACTCAGCCCTTAGGCATAAGAACCCACATTCTTTGTAATGACTGTTCCTCAAATGTCAGTGCTGGCCCTGTTCTTAAAGCAGTGGTTTAGGGTTCTGAGCACTAAACTGACTGAGTAAAAGTAGTCGTGAGTATTGGTACTACCTAACTTCTGTGTATAATATCATTTGCCATGAATTTCTATACTTTATGAAAATTATTATTAAAAGCACTCATATTAATAAATGAGGTATGGCAGAAATAGGATTACCTCATTATGATGATTGCCTCTATCTATTGATAGGCATGAAATAATAGTCAGTCTTGTAACTGTTGGATTACTTATTTTTTTAACTAATAGGCATATTCTTTCTTTTACTATTTTAAATATAAATAGTTGTATTATTGGGAGCCTGCAGGTTAAGAAGGAAAACAAAAACTGCTGAAAAAAGGGATTGTTGTTAGTCCAAAAAGAAGTCCGTATGTGTGAAAAAAGTGCCTTCCATCAGATTTCAGTATTCTCAAAACTACAGTAAATGACTAATGGCAAAGATAACACAGGGATCTAAAATTCTTTTGCAGCATTTGTTTTCTTTTAGCAGGAAGAATATTTAATGTACATTCTGCTCCCTTTGCTGAGCTGATACACAAATTTTGCTGCTTTTCTCCTGTTTTATGTCAGCAGCTTCAGAACTTTATTCACATGTATGGGAAATGAAGATACTTAATACTGAATGTTTGTTTTGTTTTAATTGCAAAATGGTGATGGATTTAGGGAGATACGTAACACCAAAACATAAGATCTATCTGTTCTGTTCACCTTTTGGGGGCTAGCTATACTAAATACTGAGTTTTTCTACTGATCTCACAAATAGGGTTTTACAGTTAGGCTCCAAAGAGGCAAACTTTCACCACAGATTTCTTCTGTAAAGGGCTTACAGTGTTCTTGTTCAGATAATGTGGAAAGGAAGAAGAACAGAAGAAAAAAAAATAGAAGGTAAAGGTCAATACACCAGTAACTGTATGATACTTTCACACTGAGTTGGTCCTTATAGAAATGTTAATAACTACAGCCATGATAAAAAAAAATGTTAGAATTTGAGTAATTATTTCTTTTGCTTCTTACCCTCTATAATATTATCATCTAGCCTATCAACCTCATAAACATTATATGCATGACTGTTCCTAGGATTTTTGCAGCAAATGTTGGAAATGATCTTTGATGAGACATTCAAATAGTTACTTAATTTTTTTCAAATGCTGTGTTATCTGTTGCCAAGGATATCAAGCAGTTATATGGCTGTATATTTCCACAAGAGAAAAGGTCTGACTTGCAACACAATAACTGGTTTGATTATCTAGCAATGAGGAGGGAAAAAGACATATATTTGAGTGCTCTATTGTTAATGTTGATTGCTAATTGTTATAGCTATGATCTTGTCTTGCTTTATGTTGAACTTCTTAATTTTTTATTCAGGTTCCATTTTTTGGTCCACTCTTTGATGGTGCTATTGTGAATGGAAAAATTCTGCCTATTATGGTTCGTGCAACAGCTATAAATGCAAGCCGTGCATTGAAATCATTAATCCCATTATACCAAAACTTGTATCCTTTCACTCAAATGGTTTCTAAGGCATATACATTCCCTTGCAGTTCTACAGATGTGATATTCATGGGTTTTTTTTCTTTTTTTTCAGATTAATATGGGGAACGTTGGTTTTTTTAATGGTGATGTTGCCTTTAGGGAACTTAAACCCATAGAAGAACATTCAGATGAAGACCAGCTTTTTTAATTAAATAAACTATAGACAAAGTGCTGAAAAAATGCCTATTTCTAAAGTTTTGTGGCGTGCACTTGTCATTTTTTGTTAACAAAATTATTTTAATGACCATTTTGTGAATAGTCTTTCCAAAATATCAATATCATGATGTTAATAATCTTTCTTTCCTTAAGATATTAAGTATTTATCCAATATTAGTGTGACTTAGTGTTATTTTCTAGTTCAAAGAATGCTGCTTTCCTTCAGTCTGAGAAGTTTATGAAACTTTCATCATATAGATTTTGTTATTCAGCTCAGAACACAAAGTTGATGTCAAAATCATGTTAGTATTTTGTAAATGTGTCAGAAAAGGCTGTCTCTCTTCTGGTTTTGTTGTTGGAACTGAAATTGTATGTTTTGGAGGAGCTGCTCTTGGAAGAACAGATTTATCAACCATAAATTAAAAAACATAAGGTAAGTCAGTCACATGCCATTTCCTTACTTTAGATTGAGTTCTGTTAGTTAAATCAACAGGTTAAAATCAACCTGTTGGTTAAATCATCAAGAAATTTCTGAATTCCATAAACTGAAAGATAAGTTTAAATTTTGATCCAAAAGATTTCTAACAAAGCTGTAACTACTAGTTCTTCTCTTGTGATAGGTTGTTGCTAAAATACTATTTTTTCTGTGACTGACTGTTAATACTTGCAGAGTTTTGGATTAGATATGATGAAATGGATTTACAGATGAATGATGGATGTGTTTTATGTGATCACATTAAGTGATGTTTGTGCCATATCTGTAGATGACACATGTTGATTCATTGTGTTTTCATGTTTGGAAAGGTCTGATCTTTCTGTCATTACTCAAGTAGCTTAGTCAAAGAATTTAAAATGTATTATCATTATCATCATCAACCATCAAAAGTGATGGTTTAGAGCATTTTATTGATGTATAGCAATGAGCAATTGGAAAACAATTTGCTTTGAGATAGTAAACTTCCAGTACCAAAAAAGCCTCACAGACTTGTGTGTTTAAACATCACAGAATATGAAAGGTTTATTAAATTCATTGGACATAGCTTGCCAGCTCAAAGTCTAGGAATTGGCCAGTTCTGTGAAGTTGTGCACTGTCTTTTTAATTCAGTTCTCCAAATTGTACTTTTTAATATGCATCAAAGCACTGCCTGTCATTTATGACATAATGTGGCCTCCATTAAAGTGCTGATAATATGTCCCCTGGTATGGTTAGCGTGGTAAGTGGAAGGCATTATGTATATTTGATTTTAGATAGCATTAGCTGGTGGGTTTCCTGTCATCACTTGGTAAGCTTATGAGGTACCAGTTGACTGGACACTGATATTAAAGGATGGCTTTGTTAAGTCATCAGTGGATTTTTTTTCCATCTGGCTTGGAGTATGTTATGTTTACTGTTCGGTATAATATAATTTAAAAATTAAAATGGGGTTGTGGGAAGTTCTTTAAAACATGTTTGCTTGGTGTAAAATTTGAAAGAAACTCTACAAATTTTTCTGGCTTGAATTAGGCTCTGATGGAGTCAGTTGTGTCAGCAGAGAACAGCAAAAAATGCTAAACTTCAAGTCTGGCCTAAGTCTCAGTGGTAGAAAAACCTCTTGATTAAAAATGTCATGGACATGCTCTTGGTGCTCAACCCATGGCCAGACTTGAGGTCAGGAAGGAATTTCCCTCATACAAGAATGACTAAGAGTGGTGGATGTTTCCTGTAACATGGACGTGGTCTGTTATCTAGGAACATTTGAAAGTTGAATCTAATTATGTTCCTGTGATAGCAGGGAGTTGAAGATGTCAAAGACTGTCTTTATTGTCTCCTGCTTTTTTCCTCTGGGATGTTTTAGCTATGGCTGCAGCAGTTCACTTCTGGCTTTTAAGTTTGTAGTGGACTAAAGGGTGTGGGGAACAGGCATATTTTATGTTCTGTGGTTAAATAGGTTTTCTGGAGACACTACCAGAATTAATGTCTCTTGTGGAAGACAGACGGGATTCAATAATCAAGGTGGCCTTGCCTTGTGTTGGAATATTGCTGGAGCAAGGAAAAAGAGGGCTCAGAGTGGTGAAAACAATACATTTGAAGAGGGAAGAAAAAGGGAACAAAAGTGCTATTTTTCAGAAGGTACATGAAATGGAAAAGTGAATCTGATGATCAAGGATTTCCACAAGTCCAGGACCATAACAGTGTCAGTGAAAGAGAATCCTGAAGTGATGTTCTTGAAACTGATCTTCATTTAGTTACTTATGAATCTCTAATACACTAAGCAGTGTTAGTTTATTAGGAATTTTGGTGATGGTTAATAGATATCCAGTTGAATGTGGATGTCAAGGGCACAAGAGTACTTGAGACTTGTCAAAGAAAACAGATGTCAGACACTACATTTCTGTATTAGCCCTTCTTTTTACAGTAGTAGACCAGCAGAAGTAGTTCATTTCAAAGCTAGCATGAGTGTATGGATGTCTCTCTGCCTGCAGGTGTGTGCTTTGTTTTCTGGTACTGTGTAATACTTGCTGGGCACTTTTTGACTTAGTAGGGAGTTAATGATATATATGTAGGCCAGTGCTTATCCATTTTTGAAGAATGTTTATAATAGCACATTGTAGATCTTGTGGTGATGAATCTGTAAGCTCTTAATTAAACTAAGACTGTGTTGATTTGCTTGAGTGTAGGATGGGAAAAAATTGGCACTGAGTTTGGCCCTCTGACTTCCAAGGAGATCTTATCTACCCTCTGAGACAGTGCATTTTCTAAGTGCAGACCTGACTGAAAAAATCAGCTGTCATTTGCAATCAGCAGGGATATTCAGTCCTCTTCACGTAACCTGATTGCAACTTTTTCCTTAATGCGCTGGTCTGTTAATCACAGTGTGCCAGTGGTAGTATGTGTGAATGCTATAATAATGGTTGCATGGATACCAGAAATTCTGGTCATCTCCCTCTTACACTCTTCTCCAACTTGGAGTATGTGTTGTAAGGTCTGAAGTAGCTTTCTGAGGCTGACATATTCTGTCAATCACCTTCCTCTTGCTGATGTTATTTTGACATTTCTGATAGGATACTTAGATAGCAAAATACTTCAAAGATTTGATTTGGTTAATGATTTGTAAAGGTTTTATCTGCTCTGTGGTTTTGTTCTTTGCTCAGAATACTATCTGTTTCCATATAGTCATGTTCTAAGATTAGAAATCTATTGAATTTATCAGCAAACATTAGTAATGCGTGGCAGGTGTCCTGCTTTTTTTGATTCTTGACACACTCATTGCTGCAGCTCTATGAATATTGCTATTTTGGGTGGAGTTTTTGCAGTGGTATGTGGAATTTGCTTTAATTTCTCCTCCAAGGATTCTCTGGTCCCCCAGTAATTTTTGGTAGCCTGGCTCTCTTGTATCAGTACCCACAGGAACAGGTGGCATACATGCACAGAGAAGCAGGTGACAATCACAAAATACTCATGGTGTCTTGCTAATGAAGCAGCAGTAACCCCCTCTCTGTCTCAGGGCTGATGTGTTTCTTCTCATTGCATTTGCCTTTGTCTTAAGAAGTGCATGCTTATTTCCTTATATGCTCAAGCTGCACATATGCTGGGAAAACTTCTAAAACTCATAAATGCAGGTGTAATAATGGGGCTAAATGTTGAGAACAATCATTTTCACTATGATGTAGAATAAGAAGGACAGTATATAGGGATTGTTAAATACTCCTTATTTAGTGAATTGCATTGAAATTATTGATATGAAGAGTTTTATTCATGGCTCATGTGTCAGACCAAGCACTTTGTCACATTCTGAATTTAGAATCAACCATGTGTGGGAAATGGATCAATACTAAGTATTTGGAAGAATAGCATTGTGGCTTCATATAAAATTTTATTTGCACTTCCTGAATAAACAGCAGATGTCAGCCAGATGCCAAGAGGTACACCTTCACATAGCAGGCACCTTCAGTGATCCAACTTTGCAATTATTGCAACAAAGCAGGACAAATACCAGAAACCTTGTGACAGTGAAATTGCAATTGTGAAAAAAAAATAGTATCACTTTTTTCATTGTACACAAATTCTGGAGTGTTGACAATTATTGCAAAATTCAGATAGTGCAATTCAGACCATCTCTGTCTTACACAATATTCTCTTGTTATAGATGCTACCTAAGACACACAGTAAGAAGCTAAATCCTCTTTAACATTTTTTAAATCTGAAATTTATAGATATTTTAGAATACCTGGAATGTGTATGACTGTTTTATCCTTAATTATCGTAGCATAATTTTCACTTCTTTCTAATAGTCTGCAAAGTCTTTGACCTAGTGCCAAAAACTGGCATTTCTTTTTGGAGATATTTTTTTTTTTGGTCACATGAAACCAGTTCATTTAAGTAGCAAAAAATAATGCTGCTTTAATTATTCAATCTAAAAAAACAGTTATGGAGTAAATCTTGGTCTGAATGACTGGATAAATTAATCTTTATTGTCAAAACTGAAATTTTGACATCCTCCTAACTTTCTTGATATTGTAGGACCAATCCAAGTACCAATGTAGGTACTTTGATGTATTGTAGCTAATATTTTGACAGTTGTCTTCTAGAGAAAGGGCAGGTATTTAACCCCATATGGTGTCTGACAAGGCAGTAACTTATTTATGAATAATGTCTGTGAGTGCTTTGTTAAAAGTTTGCCCTGGATTATGAGCTGATCACTCAGAAAAAGCTTTTTTTTCTTGAGGTGATACTCAACTGCCCCAAGAAAGGGTTTTATTAGAACTGGTAGTGTTGCTGTTTGTTGTTCTTGCTTGACCATCTCCTGCCTCAATATAGAATTGC